TTCCCCAAGGAAGTATTCTTGGCCCTACCTTATTTATTCTTTACATTAATAACCTCTGCAAACTGAAACTAGTGAACGGAAAAATAGTTACGTTTGCTGATGACACAGCACTGCTATTTACTGGTGATTCATGGCCAGATGTGTTTAACTTCGCTCAGATTGGCTTAAACAGAGTGTCCAAATGGCTACGCGATAATATGTTAACCCTCAACGTGGATAAAACAGAGTACTTGTCCTTCTCCAAACAAAATAATGCAATGCACAGACCATGTTATTACTGCTCATTCTTGCAATTTTCCTTATTGTCTGACATGTTCATGCACACCTTTGCAAAAAAGTGAATTAAATTAAATGCCTTGGCATTTTGTTGGATGATAAGCTAACTTTTCATGAGCATATTTATTAACTTTCAAATAGGATACGGAAATTAACATATATTTTTAAAAAACTCCGTTGCGTAGCAGATTCTAACACTATTAACCTATCACTCACTGCGCCCGCCATAACAAAAAACAGCTTTGTACCGAGGCGTCCGTCGTCACCTCAGCTGGCGGCACTTGTTTTAAATATTTATGTTTCTCACGACCTTTCATTTATGTTTAAAGAGGTTTTAGTTACAGTTATTTAAAGCCGATAAGATTTTCGATTAGTAGAAACAATAACCATAACTTATAAATGTTTATTTTATTTTGTACAGCTCTTTGTTTCTAACGGATCTGTTTTTTTTTTTTTTTTTCTTTCTTTTTTTTGTTTTTTTTTTTTTTTTTTTTTTTTTTTTTTTATTGTCATTTTGTTGTATTACTTAAGTTATTCAAAAATATTACGTAGTAAAGATAAATAACATTACTTACAGTTTTTTTGAAAGAAAATCCAACTAAAATCACAATCACAAAACTTCAACGATTACGCAACCAACCTCACCGGCACGCAAAAGCGAATGGCTGTTATATTTGATGATGTCTATGTACCCGAATGAATATAATGCTACAGAATATTCTTTAGTTCGTTCAGAATCGAATGAAATAGTGTTCAATCAAAAATATACTGTATTTTTATATCAATTAATGACGAAAATAGCAGCACGTAATACGGACATGTATACATGTCCTCTGTACTTAACGGTCACAAAACTTGGACCTGTCAACATGTCCACGGTATCTTAGGGGTAATCTGTCCATTTTGTTTTATGCCAATCTTTAATAATATATTGTATTACGTGCTGGGGTGGGGCTACCAAATCATCTCTTCTGCCCCTCGAAAGATCACAAAGGTTAATCTTAAAAGTAAGTAACTCTCTTCAATTTAAATTTGCAACCAGTCAACTTTATAAAATTTCCAAAGTTCTTACAGTCCGGCAACTGTTTATTATATACACAGTACTAAAATAACATGCACAATTAAAATATGACCAAAAAATACACAGCACACGAGACGCCTCGGTCTTTACCGAGTGTGTACTTCTCATTATGACCATTGTACCTACTTTTCTAGAAGATTTTGCTATCTTGGCGGATACCTGTATAATAAAGTTAATAAGGAACTTAATATTCACGTCCTACCTAAAATAAAAGTTAAAAAATGTATCCATGAATGGTTACTGAATACGTACTATAAATATACGGAAGATCTTTTTACATCACATTACACACACGTATCATTATTATTAAATTATGTATATACGCGCAAATGGATTATAACGTATCATTATTGTTAAAATATGTATTCCAAGATAACATACTTTTGTATTTTCTTTTAACTGGGAGGGAGACCTGATGACCTGAAATACAGGTTCGTCGCCTAGTATAGACATCAGTCTCTCACATTTATTTGTGCCTTTTTTGTCAAAATTCGATATTGTTAATTTAATGTGGAGAGAAAAATAAATTATTATTATTATTTGGGTTATTAATAGAGTAAACACATCTGGTTGAGCTGGATAAATATATAAAGGGAAAAATAAATATACTTAAATATATATTTAATATATTAACATAAATAAATAAATAATACATAAATAAATAAAAGCCCAACCAGATGGAAGCCCTTGGCTGGTGAGACCAAACGGCCGAGGGTAAAGGGGAAAGGGAAAGAAACCGGCGGACGATGCGGGTGGTATCGAGGAGCACCGCCTTCTGCATTTGAGCCCGGAGCAGTCCGTCACGGAGTCCCAGTCGCCTCAGATGGCCCGAGAGGCTGGCTGGGATTAACCCGTTTGCAGACACGACTATAGGAATAATTTCGGCCCGCAGCTCACCCCACATGTCGGTCACCTCGTGAGCCAGGTCCAGATATTTTGATTGCTTGTCTGTTTTGGCTTTCACGAGGTTCTCGTCATACGGAATGGTAATGTCGATCAAAAATATCCTTGACTGTGCCCGGTCCATCAGCACAATATCAGGCTTATTCGCAAGAATAGTCCTGTCTGTGATGATGGTCCGGTCCCAGTAGAGCCTGGCGCGGTCATTTTCGAGCACGGCTTCCGGCAAGTACTTGTAATACGGCAATATTCGGTCCACGAGACCGTATTTCAGAGCGAGCTCCTGGTGTAGAATTCTGGCTACTAGGTTGTGCCTGTGCAAGTACTCAGAGTTAGAAAGCGCCGAACAACCGGAAATGACATGCCTAAGTGACTCCCCCGGGATGGCGACAAGCTCGACAGATGTCGACAGTGCCATCCTTTAGGATGTATCTCCGATAGTTGTTGGTCTTAATAACCTGATCTTGTATTGCGCAGACAAAACCCTCGGTTTCCCCGAAGAGGCCACCGAAACGTAGCCAGTTGAGGGAGGCGACTGTATCTATGAAGGGCTCAGGTAGAGCCCTGTAGAACCTCTCGTGGAGCTCCTTCTCCTTCCATACGGACTCCCGGTCGGAAATGCTAAGCCTGCTGCTGCTGCTGGTCCTGCCCTTGCTCGTTGGCTAAGGATAGGGGGGTAAGCCCTTTATCACTAGAAATGACGTCATTATAAAATGGATCATCCGATCTTACCAGGAAGTAATTACGGAGGCTGCACACTTCGCGATTATGCATGGTGAGCGCGCTCAGAAAACCACGTCCACCATGCTTTCGCGGCAAGTACAGCCTCATTACCGACGATCTCGGATGATGCATCCTATGGGACGTCATGGTAGTGCGGACTTTTCTATCCAGAGCGTTAAGTTCAGTCTGGGTCCACCTGAGTATGCCAAAGGTATACATGACCCCACCGTTATATGCGTGTGTCTTATTCACATCGGACAAAAGGCTGTTAAGCACTTTGGTGAAGCGTGCATAAAACACGTCGCAAACTGACTGTTTCATACCAGCCTCATCGATACCGATGTTCTGTGACATACCCAGGTATCGGTATGTTTCAGCCTCGGAAAGGGTCCTTAAGTTGACGGGCTCAAGGTTAGAAACCCTTCCCCTTTCAACATGGAGGACCGCATACTTATCCGTCCCCAGCTCCATTCCTATGGAACTGCTATATTCACAAGTGATGTTTAGCAGTTCCATAAGATGGGAGCGACTGGAGGCGAATAACTTGAGGTCATCCATATAGAAAAGGTGGGTCACTTTTGTACCTCCTTTCCGAAGCTAAAATCCCCTCCTGGAGCCCTCTAGTAAAGTACTGAGAGGGTTCAGAGAGAGACAAAACCAGATTGGACTCAGATAATCGCCCTGGAAGATACCCCTTCTTATCCTTATGTGGTTCTCAGCAGGCATTATCCGCTCGCCCAGATAGCAAAGGATCGTACTCCATTGCCCCATACACTGCTCGAGGAAGTCTCCAAATGTACAGTCAATTTTTACAGCTGGAGGACTCTCTTTAACCATGTATGGGGCACCGATTCGAATGCCTTTCTGTAGTCTATCCAGGCGGCGGAGAAATTCCGACGGTTGCGTTTCACCACTTTGCCAATGACCGCGTCAATGAGGAGTGGTTCCTTGGTTCTACGACCACCGCACCGACATCCATTTTGAGCGCGTGACATCACCTGATTTAGCTCCAGGTGACGAGTGATTCTCGCGCTCAAAATGGATGTCAGTGTCTTTAATATGGTGGGTAGACACGTGATGGGGCGGTATTTGCTCGGGTCTGTGGTATCCTGATCTTTAGGAACCAAATGAGTGATCCCAGTAGTGAAGAGGCTCGGGAGCGACTTCTGATCGAGAGCCTCTGGGAACTTTCGGGCGAGCACAGCGTGACACACTAAGAACCCCTTCAGCCAGTAATGATGCAGTCCGTCGAGCCCCGGACTTTTCCAGTTCGGGGCCCTACGGACCACCTCAGCCACGTCTTCAGGCGTTATGGTGACGGGGTCCACAGGCGTAATACTTGGAAGTTGTGGCGAGCCAGAGTGGCTCGCCACAACTTCCATCCAAGGGCCCTCGCTGTGGTTTACGGGCTCTGACCACAGGCCACGCCAAAATGCGACAGTGTCAGCCTGATCCAGTCCTGGGCCCGCTCCACATACCTCTGGTCGCTCCAATGATTTATAGAGCCTCTTCTGATCACTCTGGAAGAGACGATTCTGGTTGAACCGCCTTGACCTCTCGCTAAATCGTCGAATTCGCTTCCCCCAAGCAGCGATTTTTTGCTTCAGGTCATCTATGCGCTCCGTTAGTTTTTGCGTTGCGTGATATCCGGCTGGGACAAACTAAAATTTGTCCCAGCAAATGCCATTCTAACGGTGCGCACAACTCTCGGTCTATTATTACACGACCTGAAGCTTGTCAGTCTGCCTATAAGGGCCCTTGCCTTTGCGATACTGTCCTCAATTCTTTTTATCCAGGCTGCGTATAAGGGCCCTTGCCTTTGCGCTGTCTCTTCTTTTTATCCAGGCTGCGATGGCGCTACTTTTTTGAGTAGCACGTCCATCCACGGGAAGTTTGGCGCCAATAATACGGCATACTGCCAGTGCGGCGCCAAAAAGAATCTAGTCCGTCTCGCAAAGGTCCCAGCTGGCTTTCAAATAGGTCACCAGCATTGGGTTAAGAGCCCGCACGACAGCCCTTGCTAAGGGGTATGCGGGGGAAGTCGCGGTCGATTTTCGAGAGGCATGCTGCGCGTTTCCAGCATCGACTCTTCCAATATGCTCCTCATTTTCTCTAGTTCGTGGGAGACTATTCCATCATCGTCTGAATTAGCCACAAATGGAATGTTGACGGCAGCATCCACATATGCAGTTTGTTGCGCATCTAGTGGCGCCGCATTCCCAGCCGTAGCATTTCCATTCGATGAAGGAATAGCCTCACGTCGTAGTCGTTCGAGTTCGGCGTCACCAAATATGTTGGAGCGCAGGATATACCGAACTCGGTCTGCCAGGTTTTGCTCAGTGACGGATAGAGATGGCTCCAGCTCTGCAAAAAAAGCGATGCACCCGAGCCCGATACGCCAAACATCCAGTTTCTTCCCCTTTTGCCCTAAAATACGCCCGCAGTGCGTTTGCATTCATTAATTTTGACCAACGCATGCGACGTGCTCCACCAGCGGCGGGTGCCGCTTTCTGAGTCCGAGAAGACCCAGCCGACATCAAGCCTTCTGGTGGGGACGATGGGTGCGGGCGGCTGTTAGGTGGTCTTGCAACACCCCGCGCTCGGCTGGCGGCCAGCATGCTGTCGCGTCCAGTGCCAGCTCCAGACGCGCCCTGGCGACCTCCAGGCGGCGGCCCTTTGCGCACTATCTTTTTTTCCATCATCCATAATTTGGGCGTCCATTAACGGGAGACGGCCAGGCCCAGCACCGTATCGTGGACGGCCATAAGCACAAACGGGCCTTTGCACCCTGAATTCTGCCGAGGCACGGAACTCTCATCTCTCGCAAGGCGCTGAATGACTGCGTTGACGTAGCAGTTTTGTCACTTAACTGTTACGTCAGCGGGCGATGGGGTCGTCAATTCTCTACGCCGTTTCGTCAATTCCCTACGCCATTTATTATTATTATTATTATTATTATATTATTCTACAATGAAAACGTAACATTAGACATTAGCGTGTTTACGTGGACCAATCAGGGCCCAAAGTGTAACAGGTGTTTCGTTTATGCTTTTTCAAAGAGATTCAATAAAATTTCAGACGTACATTTGAAAATATGAGGTGGTTGAACTTCTTTTCTGTCTAAGAGTCCGTCTAAGTAGGTACCATCTCTTACCTATTTATGCCAGCAGTGCGTGCACAACTATATTGGTCTAAATGATAAGTATAATTACAGAGTTAGGCATTCAATCTTAGTCTACAAAAGTGATAACGCATCTGTAGCCTCCTTTGTTTATAGTTGATCGCAGGGGTCCACGGACTCCCCCCGAACGGGTTCCCGCCTTGTCGTGGCGGGGGGCTTAGTAGCCGTGGCTTGGTCTCCCACGGTGAACAAAGAGGAACCCACGTGGCTGGCCCGAGGTGAAGGGCCGGCCTGAGGTGGCCGCTCCGAGTGGGCTTGGGGAGCCCACTTTGGATGTGTGCTGGTGGACTGCAGCGAGTGGGGACTCGCGCACCCTCCACCGCTGCAGCCGAGGTGGAGTCGCGGAGGAAGAGGAGTGTTAGTATGGCGATGTGCCACTCGCCCTATCCTTCGCGACTCAAACGGGGCCGCACCGTTGATGCGGTGGTGGTGGGGCTGCGGGGGGAGAGGATTGTCGGTATTGCGAGGCGCCGCTCTCCCTACCCTCCGCAGCCGAATCTTGGTTTGCGGCGGAGCCATAGACCAGATCCGCCGCTGGGGTCGGGAAGGCTAGTACTTCTAAGTGCTCGTTTTTCCTGGCCCCACGGCCTTTGTGCATCGGACGCGGGGGCGTCTGTTGCACAGACGTAGTTGGAGGCCGTGGAGGAAGGCGCGCCATGTGTTCTGGTGCGCCTTACCTGGGAAGGAGAACGGGGAGGAATTTTCCTCTCCCGAGGAGGTGCTGCCATGGGGCGGCAGGCGCTAGTAGGGCCGCGGATGTGTGCGAAAGCGTTCCCGTAGCCCTGCCAATATGCGACAAAGGTGGAACACCATGGGGTTTTAGTCGGTGCGAGTCCGACATAACCCGTCCTTGCCCCCGCGAGGCGGGTATGCGTAGGCATTTCCCCATGCAAAAAAAAAAAAAAAAAAAAGGGGTCCACGGACTAAAGTAACCACTTATACGTAGGAGGATTGTACGCGTACCTTTGATTATTACTTCGTTTAACAAAAGAAATGTGGCAGAACTTCGCGACAGTCTAGCTTTTAAAATATTACCTTTGTATATCAGGGTTATTTAAATTAAATCAAACATAAAGATAAGTATACCGAACTTCCATTTTACTGAAAAACCATAGAAAGGAGAAGGATGGACTTAATTTGTGTAAACCCTCAAACCATACACGCATTTGTGAGCAGATTTTAGATTTTCAGGACTATTTCGGTTGAAATTTGGAATCATATGGCAGGAATGTAGGGGAGTAAGGTGTTTTATTTGGTAGAGGTTTGGTCTCCGATTATAATAATACCACTCACATTAAAATACGGTATTGCATCGTTCTAGAGAAAAATCGAAAAGACAATCCCATAGAACTAACCTTAAAATGATAACTCAAAATGAATTTAGGGGGTTGGAGGTGGTGGAGAGGCGAGGGGGTTGTAGAGTCACCCCCCCACTTCCACTTCCTGCCGGACGTGCTTAGTTTTTCTTTATAAATTTTTAAAAATCTCATTTTGAGATTATGTTTAATGTTTTAACTATAAACCTGTTTATTGGGGGGAGAGAGTTGGGGGAGGGAAAACTACGTAGCGCAGTCGAGAAAAGCCCGGTCGACGGAGTCCCGCTTCATTGAGCTCCTACTTCTGAGTGGTTTATAAAAAAATTACCACGAAGGGGATGGCGGGGTCTATTCTCTCGCTCGCTCGACCCCGCTATCCCCTTTTAACTTAACCTGTCCGAGGCGGGATGCCCTAATTCCTGAGCTGGCTTTTCTCGGTCTTACACTCAATAAAACACCAAAATATTAACTTTTGTAAAAAAAGGATCGAGAGGGGTAGCGAAGTCATCGAAAAACAGGCGGAGGCAGATAAAAACGTTAGAGAGCACATTCAAGCTACAATAATACACTGGAGAGCACACATTCACGCAAGAAGAGCAATCAATGGCAAAATGCATAAAAATTTGTACCTATGTCATGCAATTTGACACTTGACGGCGAGTATAGACAGTAGAATAATATGACACTAGTCTTACTTAGTTAGTCTTACATGTCGCACTTACGCAAAATTCTGTATGATATCGAGCGTTTACAGTAATATTGCATGTGTTTCCATGTTTTACGCATTTTAGGTTATAATAGATTTTATTTATTTTTTCGGTAACCTTTTAATGTGAGTGGTATTATTATGATGGTGGACCAAATCCCTACCAAATAAAATACCTTACTCCCCCAAATTCCTGCCAAACAGTTCTAAATCAAATTACTATTTCTATATAACAAGCTCAATAAGCCACTAAAGATATATAGTGTAAACTATATGAAACGTAATATAACTGTAAGGGAATATCTGAATAAACTAAATTACGAAGACAAAAGAGAAGTTGTTAGAAATTTTAAAATAGTTTGTATTAATTGTAGGTAACAAATAATTGTTATGTAGTCATTTAATTTATTATATAATGTAGTTTAATTATATAAATTACCTAGTGTCCTACATTATTAAACTCATAGTTTTAAGTGATGGTCTGAAACACAGGTACTCAACCAAGTTCAGGCAGGTAGCTAAAATTATAAACGCGAGTTTTCAATTTTTCTTTTGTAGATTCTACATTATTAAGCTACACATAGTTTTAAACTTTATGTTTGTTATTTTTATTAGACTTATTTGTTACTTTATTTAGTTGTAACCATATTTGTTCCTGTATGTAAACATGTGCAACTGGAATTGAAATAAACATTATTTATTATTATTGTTATCATATTCACGCACGTATTTAATAAAAAATTGTTTGTTTTTTTGATGAAAATTGATACCAATATTGAACCTAACATGTAATATTAATAATAAGATAATTAATAATAGAGAGGCTTTGACATTGATTGATAACTCATCTTTATAATTAAATTAATTAATTTGCCCTGTAGGCATTACGTTACCTTATTTTACAAATGTTAAAAAAACACACAGCGATAATTATTGATGTATTTTATAGAAGTAAGGATTAAAACACAGAATAAATACAGAGGGAAACAAACCAGAAGCTAAACCAAATTAAAAAAAATACTGCTATTGCTAACCCACCCGCCAAGCGTGGCAATCTGTGGCAAATATCCTACTATAATGCAATCTAAGGGAGAGGCCTATGATCAGCAGTGGACTATAATAGACTCTAACGGCAATAAGTTTGAGTGCAAACTTTGTAGAGCCGCGCATGTCATACTCCTCTAGTGTATGATGTGTCCTCTAGTATACGCACTGTACGGATAAAGAATGAGATTAGAAATGGCAGCTCATTGAGACTGTAACCTAAACATATAGAGTACCAAGAGCGAAAATCCGGTAATAACGGTATATTGTTATAACGTTTTATTTGGAAATTTTCTGTTAATTTGAAAATATTTGAAAAGAATTTTATACGCAAGTTGGTACATTAATTTTAAAATAGAATTTATAAATAGAGACCAGCTCTGGCTTCTCCTGTGTGGGATCCATTAATGTTTCGTTATTTAGATTTAAGATTAAAAAATATTTATTTTTCTTGTCAATGTTTCTATTTTAATAAAATCTTTACATTTTTCGGATTAAATTTAGTCCAGATTACTCCTGGTATTACTTTCTATTTGTTCGTGAAGTTTTATAACAATAGGTTTAGCCATTCCGAAGATTAGCTCGGACAGAGAGACAAATTAAAATGTTTAATATAGCTACTCATGTTACAATAGTATGAAAATATTATATATACATAAATATTAGCAAAGGAAATCAACAATGATTACAAAGAAATCTCTCAAAACGCGTCCTAGCTCACAAATTAGCAAAAGCGGACTGAATTTTTTTGTAGTTTAAGGCATTATGTTATCATTGATTACAACGACAAGTTGGATTCAAGTTATATAAAGTAAGAAAAACTCATACCGCAAAGTATTTTTGCAGTCATTATCGTTGAGTGTGAAAGGTAAGGACAATGTCCGAGCAAAAAGTGAATAGAGGCGACGACATCCATCCCATTCTTAAAAGCGAATTTTGATCGATCGAAGTAAATTTTGATCTAATTATTATTATTTGTACACCTAAAATTTAAAAATACGAGTTTAACAAGTTTTACATCAATTCTGTTTCGTTACCTGTATTCTCATAAGATTACAATTTGTATTTAAAAAAATTATATAAGACTTGATGTTTCATTTCATGTATGAATAGTATCATGAACTACGTACTAGATGTTTGCAACTTTACGCGACAGTTACTTCGTTTTGCGCTTCTGAGTACTAACCGCTTTCATGAAAGATACGGTT